ATTCTAAGACGACTTAGCCATGTCCGTCTGTCTGTCTGTTGTAATCACGCTATCTTTCGAACAAATTGAGTTAGAAGGCTAAATTTTTGCAGACATGTATATTTTAACAGTAGGCAGGTTAAGTTCGTAAATGGGCCATGTAGGTCCAAGTTATCATATAGCGCCCATATAACGGTACCTCCCGATATTCGGATTGATGATTTTAGCGATATTATTCACCGGAATTGTTTTAAGTTTTGCATTTGAAGTTCGTAATGGATACTACATCCTAAGTCAAAAAATGAGACATGTAGGTCCACGTCTTCTTATAGCCCCCATATAACGGTATCCCCCGATATTCGGTATTTTGATGATTTTATCGACATTATTTAAGGGAATCATTCCAAATTTGGTATTTGCAGCATAAAACAGAAAATGAACCATGTAGGTCCACTTCTTCGTATAGCCCCCATATACCGTACCACTCCGATATTCGGTATTTTGATGATGTTAGCGACATTATTTACCGGGATTGTTTCAAATTTCGCATGTGAAGTTCGTAATGGATAGTTCAGCCCATGCCAGAAAATTGTCTGTTTAGGCCCACGTCTTCATATAGCCCCCATATGACGGTACCGCCTATATTCGGTATTTTGATGATTTTAGCTACATTATAAACAGTTCCGCATTTAAATATTGTGATAACTTATGACAAAAGTTGCTTATGTAGGTCCACGTCGTTGTATAGGCATTCGGTATTTTTATTATTTTAACAGAATTTTTAACGGATTTTATTATTTTTTTTTTTTTTTTGGAAATTTCCAAATTTGTACCAAATGGTGGAGGGTATTAAAAGTTCGGCCCGGTCGAACTTACAGCTTTTTTACTTGTTTTTTGTGGAAATTCCCTGTTTGTTTTCGTTTTGAATCTATTTTGAAATGGAATCAAATTGTATAATTATGATTGGCCAGCTATGATATGATTGTTTTGAATAGCATTGTTTTGATGTGAGCTTTTGAAAATTCCATGTATTCCATGAATGCTTTATCAAGGTTCATTTTAGGTTCAATTTGATTTTGGAATTTTAGTGTAGTTTTTGCCAATGATTTTTAAAAAAGGCGCTGATTTTTTTTTAATTGAAACTTTTTTTTGAAAATCTTATTTCATTAAGACTACAAATATTAAAATAAGCTATAAATTTCATGAAATGTTCCTCAGATCAATAGATTTTAAGCTGAACCTCTTTGAACACCTTATGGACATTATAAATTGCAAATAAGTACTAATTAGCTACCTTGTGCCACCTAAGAAGAGGGGTTTCCATAGATTATTCTTACTTCTTATTTTTAAACTATATTTAATACGTAAAAGAAATTTAGAAAACCTATAAAAGGCCATCTGTCTTAAATGTCGTATAACTAAGATTTTGAAATAGAGTATATGTAAGCCTCTTTGTATGAGCTATGTCCGTTTTTTCGTCAGTATATTTGTCTAGCTGTAGCTGCTGCCCACCATAAGTCTCGAAGGGAGTACCGATTTGTTCCGAACTTGGCACATTCGAATTAGATCTAAAATAATAATATTTTCGAGTTATTTATGACTGACTCAATGCCCAGACGTAACGGCTGAAGCTAAATTTTGCACCAGGGTCAGTCTTGATTAGGCGGTGTTCTTGGATATTCGTAATAAAACGGGTACGAAATGTACTAAAAATTAAATGCTTTGTATTGGCCAAACGAAATGAGCTAGAATTTTGGAATGAGAGTCGCTGATGGAGTGCTGGATAGATGTTTCGGAAATGTGTAAGGCACTGAATGGTACTACAAGTGGAATGGGTGAATGGATAGACGTGAACTTCTGGAATTTGATATTTAAGAGCTGAAATCCTGAAATTTGACATAAGGTCACTGTTGTTACTTAAGGTTGAGAGAAGGAGCTGGTCTTGGATATGCGTACTAAAAGTTTAATAAATGGTACTAAATTTGGTAATGGCGGAAATTGAAGAGTTAAAATTTGATGTTAAGGTCACTGTAGGTATTCAAGGTTGAGATATGGATGATGTTTCAAAATGCGTACTGTAATTGTTCGAAAAGTACTAAATGTGGCAAATTTTGGTATTGAGTAAATGGATGAAGCTAGAATCCTGAAATTAGATATGGATGTCAAAATTGATGTCTGTAGTTGAGGGAAGGATCTGATTTTGAAAATGCGTACTGTTCGAAAGTACTACTACTAAATTTAGTACTATAAATTTGGTTTTTGTGAAGAAATTGAGCTGAAATGTCATATAGATGTCACTGTTGTCTGTAGTTGAGAGAAGGAGGTGATTTTGGAAATTCGTGGTATAATCGTACGAAAAGTGCAAAATGCCACAAAATGTACCTTTGAATTATGTTCGGATACAGATGGAATTGTGAAATTTTATATCGAGGTCACTGTTTGTGTATAGGATGGAGACGAGTACTACAACTGTACGATAAGTTTGGTTATAAGTTTGGTAATAAATTTGGTATTGGGTCCTAGAATAAAGAAAAGATAGAAATCTGGAATTTGATATGGAGGCCACTGCTGGAATATAGTTTTGCGACACCGTAGCCGGTGTTGGAAATACCCAGAGAAGAAAACCTCGAGCCACGACCAAAGTCCGGCTACTAAAAAGGATTTTCAATTTTGGTGTTTCGGTGTTGGACGTAGCCAGAGGGGAAAATCTCAAGCCCCTGCCAAAGCCCTACTAATTAAGGGGAATACTAAATTAAGAAAATCTTTGGTTCGAATAACCGGTATTGTAGTTTAACCGGTATTGTAGTCAAGTTACAATTATGGTTCTATTATTATTATTATTATTATTATTATTATTATTATTATTATTATTATTATTATTATTATTATTATTATTATTATTATTATTATTATTATTATTATTATTATTATTATTATTATTATTATTATATTATTATTATTATTATTATTATTATTATTATTATTATTATTATTATTATTATTATTATTATTATTATTATTATTATTATTATTATTATTATTATTATTATTATTATTATTATTATTATTATTATTATTATTATTATTATTATTATTATTATTATTATTATTATTATTATTATTATTATTATTATTATTATTATTATTATTATTATTATTATTATTATTATTATTATTATTATTATTATTATTATTATTATTATTATTATTATTATTATTATTATTATTATTATTATTATTATTATTATTATTATTATTATTATTATTATTATTATTATTATTATTATTATTATTATTATTATTATTATATTATTATTATTATTATTATTATTATTATTATTATTATTATTATTATTATTATTATTATTATTATTATTATTATTATTATTATTATTATTATATTATTATTATTATTATTATTATTATTATTATTATTATTATTATTATTATTATTATTATTATTATTATTATTATTATTATTATTATTATTATTATTATTATTATTATTATTATTATTATTATTATTATTATTATTATTATTATTATTATTATTATTATTATTATTATTATTATTATTATTATTATTATTATTATTATTATTATTATTATTATTATTATTATTATTATTATTATTATTTTATTTTTTTTTTTGGAAATTGCAAAATAGTTATGGGATGAAGTGAACTAAGTTCCTTTACAAGTTGCTCTACAGGACAGGATTCTTTCACAGAGGGTGAAGTTTATAATAACCCAAAACGTCATTTTCTACTCAAATAATTGTAATGCCGAAAGTCACTTTCCAGCGAAATTCCAATAAAAAATTATTTGAAATGTTGACAGCAATTTCATTCATGTCTACATTTTTTAATTTAAATGGGAAATTCCTTTACGCCTTCCTCTGTTGTCATTTGAGAAATTAAGCCTCCCATTCATTTCTTTAGTCCTTTTTTTGTAAAACTCAATTTTCGTCCCAACGTAAACCAAATCTCACAATATGACACTTTATTTGTAAGAATGTTACCATTTCTTTATTTCTTTTGTGAGTGTATATTTTTTTTCTGGTCAGTGTAATCCTTTTCTCTTCTCTTTCATTTCACTTCCTTTCTTCAGAGATATGACTATTTGTATTTTCTATAAAATCCATTTTAATGCTCGACATTTTTTTTATTATTTTGTGCAATTTTTAAGAACTAAATGTTGGAATTTTTTCATTCATGGTGACACAAAAGCTTTCCCTTTTTTCGTATCCTTTTATATCCTGGTTTCTGATATATATTTACAGAGTAATATGGACAAATCTCCTGGTTTTTAAGTAACAGAATAAAAGGAATTGCCAGAGGGGGGAAATGGAAAGGATTTATATAATACCAAAAAAAAAAACGGGAGAATAAAATTAAACAAAAGATAAATTTCAACACGGATTTGGGAAGGTCCCCCATGGGTTTCCTTAGTAAAGTATAAAAAGGGAAAATTGTGTTTTTAAAGAAGATTAAAGAGGAATTAATCATGTGAAAGTCCACCAAACTTTTAGTTATGAATTTTTCTTAAATTTAAATTTTTTTAATTCATTTTTAGAAAACCTATATACATATTGATCAAAATCATAGACCGGACACTATTCATGTCCCATAATACTTCTCAATTTGATTGATAAAATACCTGCCTTTGTTCCAAACTTTGACAATATTCCAGATTCTTGTTGTCCAAAAATTATTTCCGATATTTCCCACCACCTCGCAGAGAAGAGAGAGTGTCGAAATCAAAAATTCAATTTAACATTCAATCAGAGAATTCAATTTTCCTCTCGCATAACTTCCACCACAGCAATTCTTTCCTCACACACACACACAATTGTCCTTCACCATTTCATTCGTACACAATGCCAAAAATGTATATCTCATTATTATTATTATTTTCGCTCTGTTACCGCAAACAAACATTTCTTTTCAATTTCCTTTGCCATTGTTGCAAGTTTTCATTCTGAAATGATTTTCATTCTCTTCTTCTTGCTCTATTTTTAGAAAAATATCTGCACATGAATTCGAACGTGGCGGTTTGCTGAAACCAATTGTCAATACCATCGATGGCACCCCCACCTTCCTCAGCATCGGTACAACAAATGATTGTTCCATGGCCACCACCTCAACCTCTTCCTCCTCCACCGGCAATAGTACGAGTAACAGTAATGGCAGCATGGGTAACAACAGCTTACTGTCATCAGGTGCGGCTAATGCAAGCGGTGGCGGTGTGGGCAACAGCATTGGAGCCGGCGTTTGTTCCAGTCCTGGCAGTCAAGCGAATTCTGGTCATTATTATCCACAGGCGGGACATCATCATCACCATCATCATAATCATTATCGGCCGCAACGTTTGTCACGCAACGAACTGAAGCAATTGGACGAAAAGGAATTAATATTTGAACTGGTAAGGTATTGTCTGATGGAAGTGGAGTAAAAAGGACCCTAAATTATTATTATAGGTTTACTTAAAATACGTAGAGCAGGCATCTGTATAAGTCAAATATAAGTTCGATAGCTTTTTGATAATCTTTGTTCTCTTCCAAAACCAGAAGGAATCTAAAAGTTCTGCAATTTTTTCGATATCATAAAGGAAACAAGTTAAAAAGCAGTAAGTTCGGCCGCGCCGAACTTTGAATACCCTCCACCATTTGGAACGAATTTGGAAATTTAGAAAAAATAAAATCCTTAAAAAATTCTGTTAAATTTTAAAAATTCCGAATATTGCCGTTATATTGGGGTCTATACAACGTGGACCTACATAGGCATTGTTTGCCATTAGCCATTACCATATTCAAATTCGAAACTCCAAATAAACGGTGAATAATGTAGCTGTAATCATTAAAATATCGTATATAGGGAGGTACCATTATATCGGAGCTGTGCGAAGACCTGGACCAGGATAGGAAATTTTCTGTCACAGGCTATAGCATCCATTACTAACGTCAAATACGATATCTCAAACAATTTCGGTGGGTATTTTACCTAAACTCAAAATACCGAATATGGGGAGGTACTGATGTATGGGGGCTATACGAAGACCTGGACCTGCATAGACATTTTTCTGTCACAGACTGTAGTTCCCATTACGAACTCTAAATAAGTAATTTGAAACAATTTCTGTGAATAATGGAGCTAAAATCATCAAAATACCGATATAGGGAGGTACCGTTATACGGGGGCTATATGAAAACGTGGACCTACATGGCCCATTTACGAACTTAGCCTGCTTACTGAAAAAATAAACATGTGTGCAAAATTTTAGTCTTCAGTCTCAATTCGTTCGAAAGATAGCGTGATTACAACAGACAGACAGACGGACATCGCTAAATCGCCTAGAATTTTACGGTGAATTAATGTACCCTCCATAGTGTGATGGAGGGTATAAAAAATCGCTATTTTAAATATTACAAATAAGCAAACCCCTTTGAAAAGTCCATCAAATTAAATACTTTATGGTTCAGCCCTCTTGCGTATACATTACGATTAACCCCACAATTAACATCAATCATACGCACCATTGGCACACAACATTGAAAATTAATGTTGCGCAAAGTGTAAAAACGCACACCAGCAATTATGCTGCAATAATTGTCGATAAAACTCATTAATTATCTTTACGTATATTATATTATCTACAACATTTACGTTTACATTAATATATAAAACTGCAGTATCAGTTAATAATTCTTGTGTTTCCTTCTTTTTCTTTCTCTTTGCATGTTTTTTGTCTTCATCTTCGTCGCTGTAATGGATGGATGTTTTTCTGGATATTTCTGTGGGATATTTGTTTCCAACATTCGAACACAACTTGCTGTCGATGTCATTGACGTGTTCTCCATTAACTACAACATCTGGACAATGTCACTTGGTTATGGACATGTATATCTGTATGTATGCGAATGTCAATACCGTTGATGCTCTGTCATTTGTTTGCGGCGAACAATGGTGGAAAATGTCGCTCTTGCTGTGTGTGTAAACCTCGAATGTGTTCTACAAAAACTACAACAACAACCACAACATCATACATGATTGTGTTGATAATGTTCATTGCTGTCGTCTTGCAAATGGTGTCATTGATGTCTTTGGCCAACAATTGTCGTTCTTGTTGTTCTTGTTGTTGTTGTTGTTCGTGTGTACGTGGACCATTGCTTGGATGTTGTACACCCAATTATGTCTCTGTGCGGGGGTGTTGGTGTTCTCTCCCGCATCCAACCATTTAGGTAAAGGACATCTGCAATGAATTGGAAGTTCGCAGCTTATGCCACAAGATTCTGCAAAATGTCTCAATACTGCTGAATGCCGATCGGGGTTCATTGTTTTTGGTACAAGGTCGTTGCAGTGGCAGTGCCGATGGTCCCAAGAAGTAAGTACAAGTTTTAATGGTCTCCAACATGCCAGTTTCTCTTATCGTTTATAGTTTTGTAGTTTGTTAAAATAACTACATTTAATGTGACAGCTTAGATTTTATTGACTATGATTTGTGAGAGACGTTGCAAGCATTGACTTTTTGGTAGTGTTTATTTTGTTGAGCATTAAATTTTCTTATTTTAGGGATTTTATAAACTTTTTATTTCATTTCGGATTTCATTGCAGTCAATTACACTGTGGAACACAAAAAAAAATAATTATAAGAAAATTGTAGCAGATTATGAAAGTAGAACTTAAACTGGAAGACACGTGAATCGGCGTTTTAAAAGTTTATATCGCAAAGCAACTTGGAAACAAGGGACAACCTAAAAAACAAGAGAAGGCAACATTTTTTGTTTCACATTTTTTATTGTGTTTATTTTTCCAGTAGGCAGGTTAAGTTCGTAAATGGGCCATGTAGGTCTACGTTTTCATATAGCCCCCATATAACGATATCTCCCGATAATTGGTATTTTGATGATTTTAGCGACATTATTCACCGGAATTGTTTCGAATTTGCTATTTGAAGTTCGTAATGGATACTACAGCCCAAGACAGAAAACTGTCTGTGCAGGTCCAGGTCTTCGTATGGCCCCCATATAAAGGTGCCTCCTTATATTCGATATTTTGATGATTTTTGCGTCTTTATTCACCGGAATGGTTTTAAATTTGGTGTTTAAAGTTTGTAATGAATACTAAACCTAAGGCAGAAAATTGTCTGTGCAGGTCCACGTCTTCGTATAGCCCCCATATAACGGTACCTCCCGATATTCGGTATTTTGATGATTTTAGCGACATTATTTAACGGAATCGTTTCGAATTTGCTATTTGAAGTTCGTAATGGATACTACAGCCTAAGACAGAAAATTGTTTGTTCAGGTCCACGCCTTCGTATAGCCCCCATATGTACCTCGCGATAATCGGTATTTTGATGACTGTAGCTACATTATCCACCAATTTTTTTCTAAGTTTAGCATTTGAATATTGTAATGGCTTATAAAAAAATTACCTATGCAGGTCCTGCCTAATATAACGACTATATTCGTTATTTATAACGGATTTTATTGTTTTTGAGAATTGCCAAATTCGTTCCAAATGGTGGAGGCTATTCAAAGTTCGGCCCGGCAGAACTTACAGCTTTTTTACTTGTTAAAGTTGTCGGATTTCTTGGAATCCATTGATTTCAGTTTTGCAGTGTCTTCAGCAATATTGCTGATAACAATACGAGGATTATAATAGTAGGAATTGTTAACCTTCCAACGAGTCACCAAAGAGTTCTATTAGGTCCTTCTTGTCATTCCGTTTGTAACACCTCGAAGTATACATTTAGGACCCCACAATGTATATATATTCTTATATTTATTCTGAGATTTATGGTGAAATTTTTTGTACAGGGTGAGATAAAAAACTGCAGCAAAGCCATAATTTTTACATTTTTTAAAACTTTATTGAATGAAAGCAAAAATGTCGGAAATAGCATCAAATTTTAGAATAAGCTTTGTTCGAATTTTGAACGAATTATGACCTTCAAACGGCCAATGAAACCATCACACGCTGCCCGAATGTTGCTCTGCGGTATTTTGGCCCATTCCCGGCGAAGCGCTTGCTTTAGGTGATCGACACATTGTTTTTTTTAGTGCCAAACTTTCTTTCCAAAATACTCCAGACACAATAGTCCAACGTATTGGTATCCGGAGATTTTGGTGGCCATTATGTGCTGAAAATGAAGCGAGGAACCTCATTTTGTAACCATTCTTGGGTGGCGAGTGCTGAGTCCTGTTGGAATGTCCAAGGTCTGCGGCCAAAATGTTTGCGTGCCCAAGGCTTTAATACATTCTCCACAATATTTTCCGCGATAATATTCGCCATTTATTTTGATGCCACGGTCGATTAATACGAGCGTGGAGCGACCATCGGCTGTTATGGCGGCCCACACCATCACCATGACCGGCGCTTTAGTTCTGGTGGCCAACCGAAGGTGCACATTTTCAGCTGCCCTTTTTGGCAAGTAAACACGATCATTTTGTTTGCTTTTGTTTACAAACTGCTGGACAATGTTTGTTTTCTGGACGGATGTTTTCTCATCGGAGAAAACCAAATTCGGCGATTCACCACTTTTGGCCAAGCGAATCAACTCTTTAGCTCTTTTGAGTCTATTTTCTTTCTCTTGCGGTGTATGTTCTTGCACTTTTTGGTATTTCAATGACTTTACCCTGAGCTCATTTTTCAATATTTTCCGAATGGAATATTTCGATATGTACAGCTCACGAACCATTTTTCGGCCACTGCGACGCGGGTTTCGATCAAGTCGCTTCTTTACTTTTCGAAGCATTTCTGCTGATGTTGCTGTTTTCTTCCGTCCATTTCTTTGACTTCGGGCTACGCCAGCAGTCACTTTATTATGGTAACGAGCGACGGTACGAGACACAAAAGATTTATTCACATTTCAATGCTGGAGTGCTCTAACGATAGGCACTAGTGGTTTTCCAGCCAAATATAAAAAAATCATACTATCACTCTTGAATTCCATCACGAAGAACTGTTTTTTCTGGAAAAATCTCACAAAAATGCACTGGAATAATTTTAATAGCTGTCGGACGAGTTGCTTAGAAATGACAACAATCTGAAGTTGGTTGCAGTTTTTTCATCTCACCCTGTATATCTACAATAAACGGAATGCAAGGAATCTTATTCAGAAAATTTTTAGAACAGTCGCATGAAAGGGGAATTTTCCTTCTCTTTTAAGGTTACGTTCCGCTGTAAAATTTCTAAACGCCGATATACGTGTTTTCTATTTTTAGTTCTGCTGTCGTAATCTGCTGAATTTTCCTCGTCGTTTTTGTGTCAGTACCAAGTATAGACCACATCGGCGATGACCAGACAGTCGGACAGACACCCCTTAATCAAGCCCAAATTTCCTCAACCAAATTTCGTCCAAAGAAACCTAGGGTCGAAAACCGCTATTTTGATGATACACTCTTGGTTGTAACAAATTATACATACTCACTGTAACCAATTGACTGAAGGTATAAGAATCAACGAAGACAGTCCTGAAACATACTCAGAAAAAATTTATTACAGGGTTGCCCATATTCGACGGACCTTTGGGCCCATTCCAATCGACGAGGCTTGTCCGCAGGCAACATTCTTTGCGCTTCAAACGCGGTATGTCATTAAGCGGTGTGACATCTCTGTCAAAAGTTATGGCGTTGCCAGATGGGTCCGTCGAATATGGGCAACCCTGTATAACCCATCAAAAATATTCGAAATTCATTGCTGCAGCTGTAATAGGTCTCCAATTTGTGTCTTTAAATTTTTTCTTTCATTATATCCCAAAAAACTGATTGCGACATTTAAAATCCTCCTCCATCGCCTCGTGGTCACATAAAAAATTTATTGCCAAAACTCAAGCAAACCATCACACACGTACCATCGCCAAAAACTCAAGCAAACCATCACACACGTACCATCGCCAAAAACAAAAATTTAATTCAACTTCGTTAAATAAAATACCATCCATTAGCAGTGTTATTGTCTTCTAATAAATTATGGACCAAGAAAAGAAATACTGCCAACCGACAAAACCATATTTCCAATGCATATTTCATGAATGCTGCAGAGATTTCTTTTCGCTCATTACGCCTGGGGACGGACGACGGCGGACGACAACGACTGGTGGTCATAAAAAGTTCATGTTTAATGTTAAAACATAATATGGCTCAGAGGAGAATTTCTTCATACCACCCGATGTTCGAACAAAAAGCAGACACTCACACGACTACTCTCTACATGCACGTACATATCCACACATAATACATCTATATTGATCAGAAATATTGGCTCCAAACAATACAAATGCCATGTCTCGGACACGTACACAATTTTTCATGTTATGAATGCAGAGTTCTTTCTTCTTTTTCCTCTTCTCTTTTTCTCTGTCGTGTTATGTCTTTCCTTTATTATCCATTAGTCTTTTCGTTCATTTATTTGTTCCAAATGAGGGACTAGCAGCTACATAAGCCAATATATGTATTAGAAGACTGCTACCAGTGTTTGATTTCAATTGAAAATATACACATATGTGTGTTCATACACACATACATGCCTGTGTGTGTAGTAATATTATCTCTGTGTGTGTGTTTTGTGGACCCTGGGTTCTTGTACTCCCTACTTAATGAATATATGGACATAACATGTTTTCCATGTTTGCTTTGTCCATGACTTGCACACATATGTGTGCCATATAATTGCCTGCAGGAAGTTTGTTAGGGTTATAAGGGAAAACTGAGTAACGACTAATAACATCGACTGGACTTGGTAGTACACCATATCTAGATATATAAAGGAGTAATGAAATAACTGACTGACCGTCTTGCCTAGAATCTGTCTGATGCCAGAATCATGAAATTTTGCACGAGGGCCAGGCTAGATGCGTGGGCGTGCGATAAGGTAGGGGTTTTGGGAATTCGTACTAAAAGGGTACGAAAAGTAAAAAATAATACTTTGTGTTGCAACAACGGAATGAGCTCGAATTCCGAAATTTGGTATGAGAGGCACTGATGGAGTACAGGATAGATGTACCTTAGGGTTTTTGGAAATTCGAATTTTAATGTTACGAAAACTTCTAAAATGGTACCATTTGGTACAATGTGAAAGAGAAAGAGCTAAAAACTTAAAAACTGAAATATTGTATGAGAATCAAGGTTGGGAAGTAAGTTTGATATATGAAAGTGATTTTAGGAAAGTGTGTACTAAGTGTGCAAACTGTACGAAATGGTACTAAATTTGAAACAATTTGGTTTAGGGTGAACGGATGAAAGTGGCATTTTGAAAATTTGTATTTCGGTCTCTCGTGGTAGTGGGTTTGTATTAATTAAGTGGTTTTGGAGAAAAGTACTACAAGTGCACGAAAAGTACTAAATGTCACTATATTTGGTACAATTTGATATTGGGTAA